GCCCCTTTTTGGCCCCCAATTCCTAAACGTTTCCGTAATTACCCCCCAAACTCAATTCCAGCTTTCCCTTTGTGATATGGAACCTTGTAGTACAATTTCAGAAAGATCCATACACTAACACACAAGTTATTGTCATGAAACTAGAAAAATGCTTGTTTTTTGCCCCATTTTTGGCCCCTAATTCCTAAAATTTTGAGGCAATTACCCCCAAAATTAATCCCAGCATTCCTTTTGTGATATGGAACCTTGTGGTACAATGTCAGACAGATCCATACACTAACACACAAGTTATGTCTGGAAGTTACAAAAATGCTTATTTTAGGCCCCTTTTTGGCCCCTAATTCCTTTACTGTTGGTACCATAACCCCAAAAATCAATCCCAACCTTCCTTTTGTGGTATTGAACCTTGTGGTAAAATTTCATAGAGATCCATTCACTTAAACTAAAGTTAGAGTGCGAAAACCAATGTGTCTTCGGACGACGCCTAACGACGCCAGACGAAGACGACGACGACGCCAACGTCATACCAATATACGACCACAAAAATTTTTTTGCGGTCGTATAAAAAATGAAGCATATGTTTTTTATAACAAAATGGATAGTTTTCATTATTAAACTTATGTACATATACTTTTTTCTGAAGAAAATTCTTTAATTTGTTCACATTCAGAAGAAGTTTACTTTTTTTTAATTGCTTGCTTCCAGGAAGCAATTGGCCGGACATATTTTCCGTATGCAAAGTGACCCTCCTAGTAAAATTCTGGTGATCGCAATACGCATGGATCTGTCACCAGGGGTTAAGAAATTTTGTTACAGCTCACTAGCCCAGGGCTAATTGGTAGCAGGATTTTACTAGCCCTGTTGGAAGAACTGCTAGCCCATCAAAACTGACCTGCAAGCCCGAGTATGCTTTACAAATTCAGAGTTTGCTGCATAATAAAATGAATTCTATAAGCTTAACAATTTTTATCCCTTGTACAGTAGATTTCGGCAAATCGGATACCCAAAACTTATGTCAGCAAAAAAATATCCCATTAGCCGATATATTCAATTAGTCGATAATTGTATATTCATTGAAAATGTTGAATATTCTGCAATAATGAGTTGACCAAATCCGGAGATGGTGCAAGTCTTGATCACTGCTATACATGTATATATAAAAGTATTGGAGTGATTTTTATCAGATACATCATCACATTTGTGTAAAAAAAAATATCAGCTGGTTATATGTAATGCTCATATTTGTTTTCAGTTTTTAAATCCTATATTTATTAAAATAAATCAAATGACCTCAAATATTTATGTGAATAAATATCAACCATCCACTGTTTGTGTCTTTTATATTTGTTTTATAAACGAGGTAATATCCATAATTACATCTTTCACAGGTAGGCTAATAGATTACAAACTGAGTACAGTCTCTAAACTGAAATTGTATTTGTTATATATTTTATTTCTTAAAAAATCAAATTTATTTGAATATCAATGAAGATTATCATGATTGATGAAATATTATTGCATCAAGTTTAAGTTTACTGAAGACTGTTTATGTTTAGGTCATGGTTCTGGAGGCTTCTTCACAGTATGTAAACAAAACAAAAAGGCGTCCATAACATGTGGTCAAATTTATATCTGACAAAAGTCAGGTTTCTCCTGTCAAAAGGGATTCACATTTATATTGCAATAAATTATTCAGAAGGAGGTACAATCAGTTTGCATTATATTTCTCTGATTGCATAAGCAATGTACAATACCCTCTGTACTGAGAAATCGATATTAAATTCAACAGAAAGTACGGGATCCACCTCGAGTTCTTTGTTCTATTTTTACATTAAAACATGTACAAAATCAGTTCAAATTCAGGGAATCCCAGATGACCTAGTTGAATCTGATTGGCTAAGATAGAAAATCTATTTTGGAAACGCCATGAATTTTTTGTTACTAGTGACCTAGTCTGTCAGGCATATTGGGTTACAAGTTTTGATTGCCCTAGGCCTAAATGCTGTAGTCCCAGGCGTCGGGCTAGTGGATTTTTTAACCCCTGGTAATAGCTTATTTCAGTGAATCACTGCAATAAGCTATTATCTGATTGTACATGTTAAACATGTGCTCAATATTCATGCTTGTTTGTTGATTGTTGACAAACGGGTGAGAATCGTTAAACTTCGGCTTCAAAACACGAACTTTAATTACCTGCCATATGTTCACAATAACACTGACCTATTGAAAAAAAATTTGACGATTATACGAAATTTATGCGAAAAAAATAATAAAATCGTGCACAGAAGACTAGGTTTATGATGTATGTATGCATTGGTTCAAGAATTGGAATAACATTATTTTTCACCTATCACTCGTTTCATATGACTTTAAAGTGTACTATCTGAATTTTGTCCGAAATTGCAAATCCTAGCTTTTTTGACCTAGATTAATTTAATTCTTTAATTGACAGCAATACACATAACTACACAATGACTTGTGATTCAGTAAGATCAATGTATTACCAAGGTAGCTGTATAGTTTGATGAAAATCCTAGTTGATTTGAAAAAGTTATACAAAGAATTAAAGTGTACTATCTGAATATAGTCTGAACTGCAAATTCTAGCTTTTTTTACCAAGATTAGTTTAACCCTTAAATTTGACAGCAATACACCAAACTACATAAAGACCTGTGATTCAGTAAGATCAATATATTACCAAGGTAGCTGTATACTTTGATGAAAATCCAAGTTGATTTGAAAAAGTTAAAAAAAATATTTAAAGTGTACTATCTGAATTTTGTCCGAAATTGCAAATCCTAGCTTTTTTGACCTAGATTAATTTAATTCTTTAATTGAAAACAATACACATAACTACACAATGACCTGTGATTCAGTAAGATCAATATATTACCAAGGTAGCTGTATAGTTTGATGAAAATCCTAGTTGATTTGAAAAAGTTATAAAAAAAATTAAAGTGTACTATCTGAATTTTGTTCGAAATTTCAAATTCTAGCTTTTTTTTTACCTAGATGAGTTTAACCCTTAAATTTGACAGCAATACACCAAACTACATAAAGACCTGTGATTCAGTAAGATCAATATATTACCAAGGTAGCTGTATAGTTTAATGAAAATCCTAGTTGATTTGAAAAAGTTATAAAAAAAATTAAAGTGTACTATCTGAATTTTGATCGAAATTGCAAATTCTAGCTTTTTTTTACCTAGATTAGTTTTAACCCTTAAATTTGACAGCAATACACCAAACTACATAAAGACCTGTGATTCAGTAGGATCAATATATTACCAAGGTAGCTGTATAGTTTGATGAAAATCCTAGTTGATTTGAAAAAGTTATAAAAAAAATTCTTAAAGTGTACTATCTGAATTTTGTTCGAAATTGCAAATTCTAGCTTATTTGACCTAGATTAATTTAATTCTTAAATTTGACAGCAATACACAAAACTACATAACAACCTGGGATTCAGTAAGATCAATATATTACTAAGATAGCATCATAGTTTGATGAAAATCCAAGTTGATTTGAAAAAGTTATATAAAGAATTAAAGTGTACTATCTGAATATAGTCCGAACTGCAAATTCTAGATTTTTTTTTACCTAGAGTAGTTTAACCCTTAAATTTGACAGCAATACACCAAACTACATAAAGACCTGTGATTCAGTAAGATCAATATATTACCAAGGTAGCTGTATAGTTTGATGAAAATCCAAGTTGATTTGAAAAAGTTAAAAAAAAATTAAAGTGTACTATCTGAATTTTGTCCGAAATTGCAAATCCTAGCTTTTTTGATCTAGATTAATTTAATTCTTTAATTGACAGCAATACACATAACTACACAATGACCTGTGATTCAGTTAGATCAATATATTATAAAGGTAGCTGTATAGTTTGATGAAAATCCTAGTTGATTTGAAAAAGTTATACAAAGAATTAAAGTGTACTATCTTAATATAGTTTGAACTGCAAATTCTAGCTTTTTTTACCCAGATTAGTTTAACCCTTAAATTTGACAGTAATACACCAAACTACATAAAGACCTGTGATTCAGTAAGATCAATATATTACCAAGGTAGCTGTATAGTTTGATGAAAATCCAAGTTGATTTGAAAAAGTTAAAAAAAATATTTAAAGTGTACTATCTGAATTTTGTCCGAAATTGCAAATCCTAGCTTTTTTGACCTAGATTAATTTAATACTTAAATTGCCAGCAATACACCAAACTACATAATGACTTGGGATTCAGTAAGATCAATATATTTCCTAAGATAGCTGCATAGTTTGATGAAAATCCAAGTTGATTTGAAAAAGTTATAAAAAAATTTAAAGTGTACTATCTGAATTTTGTCCGAAATTGCCAAACCTAGCTTTTCTGACCTAGATTAATTTAATTCTTTAATTGACAGCAATACACCAAACTAGATAATGACCTGGGATTCAGTAAAATCAATATGTTACTTTGATAGCTGCATAGTTGGATGAAAAAAGCTGATTTGAAAAAGTAATAAAAAAAATTAAAGATGCCTATCTGAATTTAATCATTTTTTTTCTTACCTATTAATTAAATTTTTTAATTTCACAGCAATGAACCAAACTACCAAATTAACTGGAATTTTGTAAGATCTATATTAAAATTAGTTAGATGGGCTGATTTACACCAGTCAAGACTAAATTGGAAGGTCCAGACTAGTTGAGACAGGTCGAGATTGGTTGAGACTTTGTTGCGACAGGTCGAGACTAGTCGAGGGAGGTCAAGACTGGTCGAGCCTTGGTGGAGACCATATCAGACTACACAAAGATCAACAAGTATTGAAACAGACTAATTAAGTAAAGTCGAGAACTAGTCAAGTACAGTTAAGTACAGTTAAGTACTGTCCAGACAATGTCTAGACTAGATGAGTAAAATGTGTGCTCGACTTTACTGGTCGAGCATAAAATCTGGTCTTTTCAGACTCTGAGCAGTTTGTAGTGTATAGACTAACATTACTGACAAAACTCACCTATCTCTGGAGTAATTTCTTTAACAGCAAAGCCCTCCTTGTCTTCACGCTTTCTTATATAGAACTCTGCATCTATCACTGGATTAAACTCCTAATGAAACAAGAATTTAATCTTATTAATGTTCAATTTATTAAATGCACTCCCATATTTCAACTGAAATCACACATATATCACAGTTTAGCTACTGACAAAATATGAATTCATTCTGTTCAGAGGTACTGAAGAAATGTGTGACAAATTTCTTATACATTCATTCAAAAAGAAAAGAGTTGTAAAATTGACAGCAAAACCATTTTTCTTTAATTCTAAGACAATTGGAAGTAATTTTTGTTGAATTTAAGAGGAAAGCTAGTACAAATGAATCTGCATCCAGATGTATTCTATTAAATAAAATCATCATAGATACCAGGATTGAGATTTGGTATTTGCGCCAGGTGGGTGTTTCGTCTTCAAAAGACTCATCAGTGATGCTCGAATCAAAAATAGTTAAAAAAAAAGGCCAAATAAAGTACGAAGTTGAAGAGCATTGAGCACCAAAAATTCCAAAAAGTTTTGCCAAATACAGCTAAGGTAATCTATTCATGAGGTAGAAAAGCCTTAGTATTTCAAAAATTCAAAGTTTCGTTAACAGTTAATTTATAATTATGACCATATCAATGATAATTCATGTCAACACAGAAGTGCTGAATACTGGGCTGGTGATACCCTTGGGGAGTAAAACTCCACCAGCAGTGGCATCGACACAGTGGTTGTAAATAAACTCATCATAGATACCAGGATTGAAATTTTGTACTTGAGCCAGATGCACGATTCGTCTACATAAGACTTATTAGTGATGCTCAAATCAAAAAAGTTAAATGGCCTCAGTCATGGTCTATTGACTTTGAAATATATTGGCGAGTTTTGGATGTGTCAATGGGCCACTCGATATCTCTCGGCTGGAAGTCAGAATAAAATTCCGGAATGTCTCGAAAGTTTTCGATCATTTATACCCTTTGTTATCTACGTCTTTGATACGGTCCCTCAATTGCTAGGCTACAACGTGACATTGTATCAATCAAAGTAAATTGGAAAGTAAAACAATAAGACTAAGTTGCAGCCAATAATTAAAATCGTTTAAATATAAGAACCAATTTGCCTTTTCACAAAACATATGTGTTTTTAGTAATGTGAATGTTTATAAGCGCTTTGATTTCTAAACAAGAATAATGACAATGCAATTATATTTGTTATAAAATGACCACTATACACTGTGTGCATCTAGGTCAATTATAACGTGGTATTGTCCATTGTCTGATAACATGTAAACTAATTATGTTTGAAGATTTTAACCATATTGATATTGTGTATTTTCATCATAGACTTACGGGAGAGAACATTCTGGTTAATATATTTCTATTAGATCGGAAAACAGAAAGATAATATTATTATCAAAAGTATTTAATTTAATTATTTAATCGAAATCAAAGAAATATATACAAAATATATACTGCATTTATGTTTCTGAAGAAACTAACAATAATTAATATTTTCAAAGTTGCAATTTAGAAATAAATATTTTATGACAGGATACTCTGCTTTGGTATTTTTAAATATTCATTTGTAAAGGAAACATAATAATTAAATCTGAATAAATCCTTGCATCCTACAACAAAAAGATGTTGATAAACAATAATCATTATATTTCTACGTTAATAATTTCATACCATTTTAGTAAGGTTTTATAAGTAATTGTTATTTGTATTGAAATATATCCATAAAACGGAAAGTAAGATAAATTAATTAAATATTTAAATTTTAAACGGTCAAGAATAAAAAATAATTGTGTGTTTTCAATTCACAAAGCATGATTTTAAATCCTTGCAGCTCACAAAAACCCATAATAATAATTTACAATAATCATAACAAAATTTAATAACTACCGTAATGTTAATTATTTTATACTGTTTTAGTATGGATTTATAAGTCTTTGCTTATATCTTGTATAGTAATATATTTTTATAGTGGAATGTTAGAATTTAAAAATAGATTCATTCGATAAATAAAATGTCCATCCGTAAATACTTGACGTTTGTGTTTATTGATATTATGTATACATATATTCAAAATTTTTTGAAAAAAATTACTATCAGGAACGTATGTTTATTATAAAATTTCAATTCTATTTTTCTTTGTTTGTTTTAATAGTTTAACCTTATTATATAGCATCTACATATTTGTACCGTATGGTACAATTTTGAAAATTGTATTCAATGTGTTTATCAACTATCCTTCACGTCTTGATTCATTCACATTTAGATTACATTTCAAACGCACACTATCGGTTTGCGTTCTAAAAAATGCCGGATAAATGTCAATGAATCCGGAGTCAAAACATTTGATGTAGGTAGTTTGACATTCAAATTCAACTATTAGGTAAATATATGTGATGACGCAAATGTGTATTCTTTTCCTGAGTATCAGTGCGTATGCTTTCTATTTCCTATTTCGTGCACTAAAATACTGCTTGCATGCAATAATATTAATTTCATTCGTGAAAGGGCATTTTCGTTTTTCTTATCTAAATTCAGGACACGGCAGAAAGAGCTTGACATGTGACTTTCAAGCACGGTCATCATTACTAACGGTATTCTGACCTCTAGCTGCTTCTCTTTTGTTTCTTTTTTGAGTCACTGTCCTATAAACTTTGACCTTTTCGAAAAGCTAAGGATTGTCTATCCAAGGAATAGATTCCTTAACTTTGTAATTTATTTGGCCTTTTAACTTTTTTTTTATCGAGCGTCACTGATGCTTTTTTTGTAGACTTAACTCGCGTCTGGCGTACATCATTTTAATTCTGGTATCTTTTTATATTTATATTAGTGTTGGATAATCCGTTGAAATAACCAACCAATTATCTATTACTATCAGTTGACAGCAACCAACCGACTATCAGTTATAATCACATCATTATACCTTGCACTTTTTTAAATGAAATCATGCATTTAGTCACGTTGTACATGTCTAATGTGTACATTCCATATCATTGCAGAGTTCTATATGTTCATATTTGATCTTTTGTTTCCTTTTCATATTTTTTTAAGCAATTAAAACAGTGAATTAATTAGAATCCAGATTCAGAATGAACACATTTTGTCTTATAATTACAACATTTTTACCAACAGTGACACTATAATTTCTAAATTTCAATGGTGTAACTCACATTATAATTTCAATAACATAGCTGTATAAACATTTGAATGCTTCTCATTAAAAAAAGATATATAAAGTATTTAACTTTAAGCAATTTAAAATTAATAAAAAAAAAAATAAAACAATGCATTTGCATTGAATTATATATACAGTAAACTAAGAGGATCCAACAAATGTCTGTTAATTCATGTAGAATGTTTTTTTTCACTTTTGTGATCATTATTCTTCTGTCAATTGTGTCATTTGTGCGTCTGTACTTATAATTGCAAGAATGCGGAATTATTACATAGTTGATCGGTATCCGATCCGTGATTCATATATATTTCAATGACGGACAACCCGGAAAATTTACAAAAATAAACGATGTTTGAAAAGCAATTTGGAAAGGAATATGATGTTTTTGACGCAACAAATGGATAAAACATTAATAAAAGGCAATTTGCAACACGTTCTATGTAGCAAAGAAATTATTTTGTCTAAAATCAGAATGATTTCATGTATGCTCTCAAGTAACAAGTACCGGAATTGAAAGAAAGTATTTCATACAAAGTTATTTATTTTAAATAACATTCGATCAATCTGTATATATAGTCAATACTTTTACCACGTTTATAAAGATAGAAATTGGTTATGTCTTTAATTATAGGATGTTTGACATTGTTATTGTCATCGACTGATATTGTTCGTTACAATTTGTTTGACTGCGCATATAAATTTCAAACTGGAAATGGACCGGAAGTTGATACACTAAAAGTCCGGAAACTATAACGACAATCGATTGAACAAAATCCCAATCGATTATCGATTATCGACATCGCCAAGCCTAACCAACTGATTTCCAACTTATTCCATTCATCAGAACAACACTAATTTATATACCTTTTTATATAAATTGGTTATTTTGAAAGTGTGTACAGGTATTCATAAAACTTCTGAATTAAGATATTCTTCGGAAAAAAACCAAGTTTCCCTGTAGAGTGTTTGAATTGATTTGATTAGGTAAAATCAGGAAATCCTTAAAATTTGAGATGTTTTATGAAACCAAAATCAGTCTCTTTATAAGAGGTCCCAATCAATTGCATGCTACAGGTTTCACCGCACATGGAAATTGGACTTTAAATTTATCTATACAACATCTACCATGAGTAGAGACAGCTTCAATAACCAGTTGAGAATAAAAAGGCATCCATGCAGGAAACAAAATATAAAGATATGATAGATAAAATAAATGCATCAAGAATTCCAGATTATAAAGCAAACTGAGTGCATTAATTTATATTGCAATTGGTTTGTGCAATTTGCATAAGTCATCCAGTTTGTAGAAATTGGGATTTTCAAAAGGGCTATAATCGGAAAAATTATGTACATTCCCAAGTTATAAATAAAATAGTCCAGCTTTAAAATGTACATTCAAATAGTAGCTGTAAATATACACTTTCAACTGGCTTCTTCTATTCACAGTCAATTATTTCAATTCAAAAGCAAATACAAATTCAGCAACAATCTTTTGGTGACCCAGCAGTCAGCGGTCTTAGGTTCACGTATTGCTTTTCTTTTTTTAAAGAAAGCAACTTGTTTCATAGTATTCATGTAGTAGTTTGTGATTGGGTCAGTTTATGGGGAACCTATAGTGGTAAGTTAATGATAATTGGTATGCAGTTGCATAAGCATTGGCATATCTCATTTCCATAAAGATTATTTGGCCCCGCCCCCTCAGTCATGGTCTATTGACTTTGATACTTTTGCTTAGTTTTCATGTATTAGTTTGTGATTTAAATTTTAATGAAAACGAAACATCATAATCAATAAAAAGTACTTACATTTTCCTGGCCTTGCTTTGTGATTCTTTCACTTTTCCTAGTCCTGTTTATATAAAAAAAAACCTAATAGTACTACCGGTATATTGAAATTTGAATAGCTATAGTGTTACTCCTGCTTTATGTAAAAATAAAAAGATGTGGCGTGCTTGCAAATGTGAAAACTCTTCATCAGCATGATCAGAGAACAAATGAAATAGAAGTTACCACCTATACTTATTCTACATCCATTAAGATTAATACAAGAACATACTGGAGTTCCAATTTCCCCGAAATAAACCATATTTCATCTATCTAAGGAAGAAGGGCAATAATTAAAAAAAAACACTTCTATTTTCTGTTCTTTAAAACTTTTTATTAATTATCATGGAGAAATAAAAGCTTCAGAGCAAATATTATGTTATTTCCATTATAATTAATTTTCCAAGCTGTATTAAAACTCGTTGATAATATTTGATCAGCACTTGTTTTCAAAAGTGTCAAAGACATTGCTGATGTAAAGTTAAACCTAGATTCTTGTTCATCTATTTAAGAAATACCGTCCGAAGTTAAATAGATGAACGAGAATCTAGAAGGCATTTCTTTTTAATTATGTACTTTCACTTTCGTTTTATATAGTACCTACGTTGTGCTATATTATGACGTTCAGGACTAAATAATAATGTCACTAATAGACGTTACCCCTGACGACGTTGCCAGCAACCATATCCTTGAAGATCTGTTAAACAGTGAAACCCGTAGGATACTATGGAGGATAATATGGAGAACATTATGAACATTTTGATATAGTAATAGACAAAATGTAAATATTCATATTGAATATAAATATTTGGTGCATTTTCAGCCTTATTTTTTTTTTTCCTATTTTGTGCACAGCGTGGACAAAATTTAAAAACTCTTCAATATATATATATATATATATATATATATACTTTGTATGCAGGTGCTGAAAATTCAAAAAAAAAAACGGACCATTCAGCTAAAATTCAGTAAATATAAAAATAAGATGTGATATGAATGTCAAGGAGATGTGATAGGATTGCTTTCTTTATAGTAAATGTGGTAGATGCTTAAGAAATAATTCATGGCAGCCGTAGATTTGTTTTCATTTAACCATGGGTTGGGCATTTATATTCGATTATTTTACCCTGACCGTTAGCGAGGGGTAAAATACGAATATAAATGCCCAACCCATGGTTAAATGAAAACAAATCTATGGCTGCCATGAATTATTGTGATTCTAATAGGACAAATTAGGTAATTTTGTTAATCGTGAAAGCCCTATACATACGATACTGTTTTGGCTGTTCCGTTTTACCAAATTTTTGATAATATTAGTAATATAAAATAATTCAATGATTACTTTTTTTTATTCGCATTTTTTACTTAAATATTTTTTTCCAGTGTAATTTAAACCGTTCTGAGGCGTACAAGAAGCTTTAAAACGCCCGGTATTTACATTTGATTTTTTGTTTACGGAAACATACTTGTGACGTCACCTTGTTTCGTTGCCATGCCAATACAATAACATCATTTGCGGAATTTTCGTTTTTTTTAAATTTTACCATAAAAAATTTAATTGAAATGGACTGATTTGTTTATTTTGCTGTAGAATAGAGAAAAAAATATTGTATCTGAATCTTGGCCTACGTAAACAGGGGGTTTTGATGTCAAAAATTGAAAATATCTGGCTGTATAAATAAGTTGGTCGTAACGCGGAACAGCAGTTTTTGTGTATTACTGCGTTTGCGCTAAAGGTAGATATATTGTGATTATACTGGTTGACGTCACGATAATAGGTCATTGTAGGTCGTCATATTAGAATTAGTCAGCCGTAAGCAGTTGAGCTAACAAAGTACTTCTTTAGCTCAGTCAGTTAACGTGCTGTCTTGTAAGGCAGCAACCATTTAATTTTCGGGGGGGGAGCTATGGATTTTTTTGGAAAAAAAAGTTTGTTTCCAGTTTTTGGAAGAAAAAAAATAATTTGTTTTTGACCCTGAGAAAAAAAAAAATTTTTTTCACCCTCAGCTGCCACTATATGTAATGCTAAAATTGAAAGAAAAAAAATTGTTTTCGACTTGTTGCCAAAAAAATAGATTGTGTTTCGCCAAAGGCGAAAAAAAAAGTTTGTCTGAAAAAAAAATCCATAGCCACCCCCCCCCCCCCAGAAAATCAAATGGTTGCTGCCTAACACAGAGGTTCTATTTGTTTTGACATCTTACAGTTACAGCAACGATGTAAGGTGTGAAAGCAAAAATTTATAATAGCCTTTCAAGACATCAAGTAGAATCGTGAATGCTTTCCGGTGACAGAGACATTTCCAGTCTCTCCACCAGATAACCAAATGACATAGAAGTAAACAACCATAGGTCACCATACTGCCTTTGACAATAAGCAAAACCCATACCGTATAGTCTTACTGTAGTCAAACAGATCAAGGATTAATGTCTTACTCTAGATATCCTTGAATGGAGCTGTCAACATGTTGTCTGCTCTATGGTCGGGTTGTTGTCTCTTTGACACATTCCCCATTTCCATTCTCAATTTTATTAAAAACAATCAACCAACAAATTGGTCTTGTTTATCTCAAGGAGTAAGTTCGATAAGCCTAAGGGCCATATTTGGCCTCAATTATAAAGTTCAATGCTACAAGATAAAAAATGTTTTAAGTTGACTTGAAGACATGTGAGAAAGTTTTATAGAACAGTTTCTGTCACAGTTTTCTTCTACAGCGTTGATTTTTACATCCCAGTTAAGTCAAAATAAGGGATTTTGACAAAATTTGAAAAAATCGGCAGGATTTCAGCCAAATTTAACTTAAGAAACATAGAACGCAGCCGTCGACAACCTAAATATTCAAGTTAGACATGTAAAATGTCATTACAAACATTATTATGGAAGATCTTTTTTGTCGACGTATGCGCTCTATGTTTCCTGTCCAAATATTCAATGGAAATTTACCCATTTTCATTGTTTTTTTCGTGGAAAATCAAAATGAGTACTATTTGTGACGTCACGAATAAAAGGCAGGAACGTAAATCTGCAACAAAAAGACTTATTTCCTATCTAGTCACTGTATTAGCTATTTATCATTGTGATATTGGTCAATAAATCCCAATTTGAAATTTAGGCTAAAAAAGGGGGCCATTTTAGGGCCTTAAGCCCATATCGAACCTACAGGGTATGTTTTTCAATGTTTTGTGGTTAGAACAGGGTATGATTTGGCAAGTGCTGTCGGCACAGTTATACCCGACATGTATTTGCTGCAAAATAATAGAACACATAGTCACCAGTAACATCATGAAACATGCAGAGGTAAATAACATACTATACCCATTACAACACGGCTTCAGAAGTAAAAGATCATGCGAAACACAACTCCTTGAATGTATCGATGACATCACAAAAAACCTGGAAAACGGAAAACAATCAGATCTGCTAATACTTGACTTTTCAAAAGCTTTTGATAAGGTGTCCCACAGCTTACTCCTCCATAAATTACACCATTATGGCATCCGAAGTAAAACAAACAAATGGATAAAGGAATTTCTCACCAATAGAACCCAGGTAGTAGTTGTTGAAGGCGAAACATCTGACAAAGTAAAAGTAGAATCCGGAGTACCGCAAGGATCAGTATTAGGACCCAGTCTTTTTCTGTTCTACATCAACGACCTACCAGAAGGCTTACACTCCACAGTGAGACTGTTTGCGGACGATACTGTGGTCTATTTGACAATTTCATCAGACAGCGACTGCCATAAACTCCAAGAAGACCTGGACAAACTGGCAAAATGGGAAGAACTCTGGAAAATGGAGTTCCATCCTGAAAAATGTAGTGTCCTCACTGTTACAAAAAAGAAAAAGCCAACCAAGTGGGACTATAAACTCCACGGCCATACTCTGGTGCATGAAACATCAACTAAATACCTAGGCTGCACCATCGCAAATGATCTAGATTGGGGAGAACATATAAACAACATCACAGGAAAAGCCAGCCGAAGCCTTGGTTTCCTACATCGAAACCTCCACATTAGCTCAAAATCCATCAAAGAGCATGCCTATAAAATATTAGTAAGACCGCAAATGGAATACGCCACGACAGTATGGGACCCGTACCAGCAAAACCACATAGATAAAATTGAAAAGGTACAAAGAAGAGCTGCACGATATGTAACCAGCAGACATAGAAATAGATCAAGTGTCAGCAACATGATAAATGAATTAGGATGGAAAAGCTTACAAACAAGACGAAAAGAAGCACGACTCATCATGTGTTACAAAATAACAAAGGACCTTGTAGCCATAGACAAGAATAAATATCTACAAAAACCAACAAGAAGCTCAAACCGGACAGGACAACATACTTACCTATTACAGCCAGCCACCAAAGACTGTAGGAAATGGTCCTTCTTCATAAACACCGTCAAGGATTGGAACAAACTGCCACCAGATACCGCCACAGCAAAGTCTCTTGAGATATTCAAGTCTCAAGTCACCAAAACCACAAACTAAATCAACAGAACAATTTGTTTTTATCCTGTTTTTAACCTGTTTTTAATCATGCGCAACTTGCCAGAATATTCAGCATGTTGAATGTGGGCAGTATATGGAAGAAGAAGAAGAAGAAGAAGAACCCGAATTGACTAAAGTAACCCATATTCCTTAATTTGTTTTATACTTTTGGAGCAAAAAAAAATTAGGGATACACACATTTCAGTTTCATTCTACATCATCCTACCTTTAAAAGGGTTCAAACTTTATAAAGTGCGTCTGACGAACTTGAAGGAAGTGCATTTATGACATAAAAGGAAGCCGTTCCCGGGTCAGAATGGAATCGATCCGTAGGGCCTATCCTGACCCGGGCCATTTGTGTTTCAATCCCTATTCACACTCCGCGTCATCAATGAAACTGTAACCCAACGACATCTCATGATCTTATATTATAGGACTAATACAAAGCCGAGAAGTCAAATCAGAAATTTTCTTACCCATGACTGCTTTGAACAGTAAATTTGGGACATTACTCGGGACATTATATTATCAAGGATTTGTATACTATACAAATCCTTGATATTATCTATTGTTAAAAAGGGGGTTCAAACCCAGGATAAAAGGGGGTTTAAACCCAGGAAAAAAGGGGACCCAACGATAGGTTTTAATTCAAACGCATTGGTCGTCATAAAAAAAGAGGTTCCAACCCCAGGACCCCTCCCCCTTTTTTTTTAGTGGACCCGACCAATGACACTGCATGGAACTTGCTGAACATATAATCAAATGTTGAAAGCCAATGACATGGTTATTGAAAACTGGTGCCATCAAGGATTTGTAAATACTTGGTGACATGTTTAGTTGTTTTTTCACAAGTTTATATAATTAAAAAAAAAATTAAATACTTACATTATAATTATAATGAATAGGGTATATATAGTATCCAAATTAATAAGTTTACACTAAATTGTAATTGAGGAATACAATACAATAAAAGTATAAATGTTTTGTTGAATATCTCTGTTTAACACTCAAAAAAGTGTGTCACAATGATTCTGGAAAAACCCACAAAAACATATGTGTGTGAAGCTGCTAATATACTACAATCTGATATGTTCAGTTGACAGATCGGAAAATTAAACTATTTAATAAATAAACATGCCGCCGATATTATCTATTCATTCTGTTCATAACGACACTTGCTAATTATTACCGATAGGGAAAGGGTGTCTTTACTGTGTTCTCTATAAACCTATGAGCATATTTTAGTAATGAAAAATCCTCCATGAATTTTTTTGTGTGACTTTTCAGAAATGCCTTTTGAATGATAAACCTTTTCTAAAATTTAATCGTTCTTCCTCTTGCATGTAAGGGACAACATCAAAAGTTCAATGTAGGATAACAAATTTAATTCGCATAGTTGTTTCACTGACCACCCCCCCCCCCCCCCCCCCCCCTCCTTAACTTAATTTGGGGAAAATTGATTGACCAATATGGATACATGCATGACAATATCCCTACATGTCAGAATGTAAAACAATTCAAATATTAAAATAGCGAGAAAAAGAATGTGTCCACAGTACACGGATGCCCCACTCGCACTATCATTTTCTATGTTCAGTGGACCGTGAAATTGGGGTAAATACTCTTATTTGGCATTAAAATTAGAAAGATCATATCATAGGGAACGTGTGTACCAAGTTTCAAGTTGATCTGACTTCAACTTCAGCAAAAACTACCTTGACCAAAAGCTTTAACCTGAAGCGGGACAGACGGACGAACGGACGGACGGACGGACGGACGGACGGACAGACCAGAAAACATAATGCCCCTCTACAATCGTAGAATGGGCATAAAAAAAACTACAGTCTGTTTTTTTTTTTGTACAAAACGATAAATGAAAACAAATATAATGACCAACAACCAACGACATCCACTAGTACTATAAAGAACAGGTATATGCATGCAGAATCTAACAGGTTAAACAGTTTTTGCGAGCGCGCAATCATCCTCTTACCTCTACACATCGCTAGACACAAAACAATTAACAAAAAGTAATAAAAACAAAAAGTATTGATTTGGAGTGTGCATGTATATATAGTTACTGGAAGCACGATCAAAGACAGTTGCAATTAATAAGTATTAAATCCTGTTTCCCATATAAAAATAAGGAGATGTGGTATAATAGTCATTGAGACAACTCATAATCCACCAAAGTTGAAATGAAGTTGATGTAGATAATTCGCAGACTGTGTAATTGTCATACATTGATATACGTTCAAATGGTCTACTTATAATCAGTCTGAGAATAGCAAGTACACTTTTGTGCAATGCTAAAATATAAGTATAAAAGCGTTCATAATGGTCGTAGATTGGTCTCTATTGGTCACACAGTTCTTAATCTCCAAGTATTTATGTTCATCAAAATGACTTTCACATGTTTGGGCTGGAATGTTCCCGATGAAGACAATGACGTCTTTGCATTAAATCAATTGAAAGTTGGATCAACGTCCAACGTACTTAAGTGTAGTGTATAAAAAGAAGGAAAGAGAACGGAAAATAGTATCACTTTACATATAGGTTTTTCTCTTTCGAATATACTTATAAAAATAAGAAGACGTGTCATGGTTGCAAATGAGACAACTCTTAACAAGAGACCAAATGACATAGAAATTAATAACCAACAATCACCGTACGGCCTTCAACAAGGAGCAGAATCCATTACGCATAGGCAGCTATAAAAGTCTTAAGTTCTCATAGTCCCAATTGCTTGCTTAACACAAAATGGCAAATATTACAAGCATATTCAAGCCGATCCATAGGTGGAACACCGAATGTTGCATGACGTACAATTTCCAGTCTTTTAAACTGTTTTCTATATGAATTTGTTAATACAATGCACTGGTTTCCTATTTTTAATGGAACACCCGAGGAAACACAAAGTATATATATATATGAATTTTATAAAAATGTCGGAATGATTTTGCTAATACTATGTCTTTTGTAATTCTTGTTATTAAGCTCGTTCTATTATACACGTAAGTGACCCAATCTGTATTATATCCGTAATTTAAACTGTTTCTTAATTAGATGAACTTTATCTTATATTTATGCTGAGTTTATTTAATTAATAGGTTAAGTTAGAATCCTCAAATCCATAAACAACTATTTCGGTGTTATAAACCTACACAAAAAGTATTTCCGTAAGTGAATTGTATGATTGAACCTTGCTTGCTTAAATATCCAGTGGCAAATATTACAAGCATACTCTCTACGATCCGTACGTAGGAGGACACAGAAAGCTTCAAAAATGAAACGGCAAAGACCACTGCATGGTTTTCTATTTTCAATTGAACACTAAGTATTGATTTTGCGAAGTGCTTTTGTTATTGATATTTCTATTGATTGTTATTTTAAAGCACGTTATGTTATAAGTGAATCAATCTGTATAGTATCCGGAATATATACTGTATCTTAATCACAGAAACGTTATCTTACTCATGTGCTGAATTCATTTATATCATAGGTTTAGGTATCAAATCCTCACCAAACAACTATTTCGGTGTTATATATATACAATAAAATGGTTTACTTTTACAAATTGTGACTTGGATGGAGAGTTGTCTCATTGACATTGATACCACACCTTCGTATATCTACTTAGTTAAACAGTGCTTCCAAAATCAAATTGATTGATTGAACGTTGCTTGCTTCACGTCAAGGGCAAATTTTACAAGCATATTCAAGACTGTCCATAGCTTGAAAACTGAAAGCTACATGACGCACCATAACCCCTTTTTGTTGTTTTCTTTGACACTGTAAAGAAAACTGCAGGGATTCCGATTTTCAATGGAACTTAAGTATGGATTTTGTAAAAAGATGAGGTCGCGGTATAAGCGGCTTAAAAATGTTACTTTTTGTTGTTTTCACGATAATACTACGTCTTCATTACATTTCTATATATATACAACGATCCCGATATGAGTATACCACGTTCAGCTTCTCACCACGCTTTTTCTACGATTATCATGATCTTACCACGCTCATCATGTTCTCACTACGACTATACCACGAGTTATCCGATTGCAACACGATCTTAATTACCACGCTTCTACTGCGATTATAGCACGTTCTTACCACGATTATACCATTACGGGTCTCGAGGCCAATACAGCAAACCTTGAATCTATACCAGTGCCAATACAGAAACAGCCAGTTAATAACACTTTTATTAAATAATCCAACTTTTTCAATACATATAAAAAAGAAGATGTGGTATGATTGCCAATGAGACAACTGTCCACAAGAGACCAAAATGACACAGAAATACAGACTTGTTCTGAATGCTGTATTACATACATCAAATGTGAATATAGGGCCAATATTTCCAATACGGACTGACAATGATGTGAATATAGGGCCAATATTTCCAATACGGACTGGCAATGAATCCTGAATTACATGCACAATATATGTTTACATGTAATTCAGATTTATTGCCAGTCCGTATTGAAAATATTGGACCGGGCTGAAAAGCAATATAGATCACGTGATTTATATGACCAGGACGACGTCACCAGTATGACGCATGCCGTTTTGGTAGTATTAGGGCTGTTTTAATCGTATTATTTTTAATAATAGTACGTTCATACCGCGATCTTACAACGTTCTCAGCAATAACGTCAACATCGTGTTCCATATCAATACTGTTCCATTCGTTCTATTTCTGATTAATACGTAGATTTTTCGGATACAACACAGTCATGCCATCAAAATCAATAGATGTAGAGGCAGAGGGAGCTCTGGTATTAACGAATCCTGATCCAGCAGAGATGTCGGACCGACTAATCCAACCTGAATCACAACCTATCACTGGTCCATCTAGCTCAAATGACGATGTTTTAGTGAATGATAGCAGAGATGACACAAATGTGTCAAGCATGCATGGTTGAGCCATGAGAGAAAAAGGACAAGAGGTCCAAATTACATACAGACAAACAAAACCTGGAGAGCTTTTGCATATTTTATGTGAAAATGACAACGAGCATTATGGTCGTAGTACGAACGTAGTCAGGTCGTAAGAAGAGCGTGATGAAGACGGCATGGGCGTGCTAGAATCGTACTATGGTTTTGAACAGCGTGGCTTAAACGTGGTATTGTCGTAGTAGTAGCGTATAGTTGGGTCGCGGTGAGAACGTGATGGTAGTAGTGAGGTCGTAATAACGTCACTGTGAAATCGTAGCGCTCTCTCCGAATAGAATCCCGCTCTCGCTACGCTCTCGCTACGATGGTACAGCGACCTTTGCATTCCTACCACGACCTCAGTGCGCTCTCATTACGCCTCTATTACGACCTGATTTCGCCACGACCGCACCACGATTGTTTTGAACATGTTCAAAGTTTGCCACGCTCATCACGATCTTTAAGACCACAACACGACCGTGATACGACTTTACTAAGATCTACACGATCGCAATACGATCGTCAAAATTTGCATTTTTTTTTCACAGATCGTAGTGCGATCATGGCCTAGTGTGGCTGCGATATAAAATAATTTATTCTGCATTCGGTCAACTACAAATGTTCCAGTTCATGCATGCTTTATAAATATAATTCCGACATACCCTAAAATTGAGAATGGAAATGGGGAATGTGTCAAAGAGACAACAACCCGACCAAAGAGCAGGTAACAGCCGAAGGTTACCAATGGGTCTTCAATGCAGCGAGAAATCCCGCACCCGGCGGCGTGATTCAGCTGTCCCCTATACAAAAATGTATACTAGTTCAGTGATAATGGCTTGTTTTTGTTGGAGGGACGTCATGAATATGCATGACATATTTGCCACTGGACGTCTAGCAAACATCAATCTATCAGAAATAGTTTAAGCAAACAGTTAAATCAAAATTACTGTTCATGTTGCAGGCCATTTCGTAATTGTATACTTCTTTGAATATCATCAGTAACGATTGGGAACAAGCAAAACTATATATATGCGTCAAGAGTCAACATAAAATTTAATATAATATGAATTGAAGCTATACTC